GCTCTCATCCTGCCTCGGAGGAAAATGAGGTTACACGGACACCAGAGATTGAGCAAGGTGGAAGGGATTTTATTGAGCAACAGAACAGCTCTCAACACGAGAGGGGACCTGAAATAGATAACCCTCTGTGTGATGGGGGCCCAAAGGTAGGTATCCCCCACGTGAGGCTGAGTTCAGGGTTTCTATGGACTCAGAATGGGGGAATGCATGTTTTATGGTCTATGGGCAGGCCTGGAAGAAGAATCACTGGATTGGCTTTAGGCATCAAGGAAGTTCTCACTCCGCTTGTAGACTCTGCCCGGAACTGGCATCCAGTTTTCAGACTGCCTGGTGTCTTTGACTTGAATGTTGGGTTTCACCAGGGACCCATCCGTGCCTGCCTGTGCATTTGTCTCCTACTGGTACCAGTCCTCCCTCTGAAGAGGTACATCTAACTGCTGTTAGGATAAGGATTATGACCACAATTACTGCTTCATGCTGATAGCGGTGCTGTTTTGCAAAAAAAAAAAAAAAGCCTCCCCGTAGAAGACAGCAGTCCTGCCACATTATGTGGGGTATAAATGGTTCCATTATTTCCCATGGTTACCTTAGTGGCCTTTGGTACCCGCAAGGTTACTGCTGAGACTGTCCAGGGGCAGACTGGCCATCTTTTAGCTACCAAATTAAGCTCTTTGCTTAGGTAGCCTACAGGTTGCTGGGCTGGACCTTGGGCCATTCTCTTTCTTTGTGATAAATAAAGATTTCATGTCTTCCCTATGGGAAGAGTAAAGGCTGGTGCCTCAAGAAAGGCTTGTTTCAGTTGGTCAGAGGCTCTTTTAGCCTCTAGTTCCCAAATTAGGGAGTGAGTTTTAGTTGCCTGAGTCTCCTTTATTATGTGATACGAGAGGGACAGCGTATTTCACCATACCCAGGTATCCATAGTCGGCAGAATCCTGTTATCTCCAAGAATCTTCTCAGTTGCTTGAGGGTTTTGGGGAGAGGAATACCCTCAAGTTCCCCTGTCCCCTCTAACAAGACTAGACCTGGGCACTTCACTGAAATCTGACAGAGCTGAGCCATAGATTTTGAGACCTTATATCTTCTGTTATCCAGAAAATTAAGGCAAGCCTCCCTGTCCTCCTGAGACTTCCTCAATTGGGGCACAAAGGAGAATGTCACCTGCATATTTTAAAACTTTCACCTGTGGATAAAGGAACTCAGATCTTTTGACAACACTTGCCCAAACAGCTGGGGGCTATCTTGGAATCCCTGAAGTAACACCGTCCAGATTAGCTGGTGGTCTGGTTGGATGGATTGTTGAATGCAAGCAAATACTGAAGTTGGGGTTTGATGGTATGCAGAAAAAGACATGTTTTAGATTCAGGACTATGAACCATTTCGTTTCCTCGGGTATTAGAGTTAGTAGGGTATAGGGATTGGGAACCACCATATGTATTGGAACCCCAGCCTCATTAATGAGGCAGATGTCCTGGACCAGTCTCCTTTCTTCACTGGGTTTCTGTAACTCCAGTATCAGAGTATTACAAGGGCTGTTGCAGGGTTTGTGGAAGCCCTGCATCCTCAAATTATCAGTGATGGCTTCTAGTCCTTTACTAACTTCTGGTTTTATGGTATATTGTCTCTGGTTAAGGAAGGAGGTGGGATCCTTAAGGTGGATCCAAACCGGTATGGCAGTTGTGGCACCACCAGTTTTCCTTTGAGTTGCCCAAACTTCTGGGTTAATATCGGTGTGCACTTGGGTGAGACAAAGAGTCTGTCCTGGAGCCATAAGGATGGTGGGTTGTATGCCAGCTAAAATAGCCCTGCCTAGCGGAAGAGTTGGGCTTTCAGGCATGATTTTAAAGTCATGGGTAAGTAAGAGGTCTCCTCAACTATATATAACTAAGGGGTTGTGAAAAGTAACAGGTTAAAGGCTTCACTGAGACGTCCCTCACAGTCATACTAAGAAAAGAGGGGAGACCTGGCCTAATAAGTTGCCTCCCAAGAGAAAAACAAAACAGTCTCTTGCCTGTAATCCCAGCATTTGGGGAGGCCAAGGCAGGTTGATCACGAGGTCAAGAGATCGAGACCGTCCTGACCAACATGGTGAAACCCTGTCTCTACTAAAAATACAGAAAATTAGCTGGGCACGGTGGTACGGGCCTGTAGTCCCAGCCACTCGGGAGGCTGAGGCAGGAAAATCGCTTGAACCAGGGAGTCCAAGGTTGCAGTGAGCTAAGATCGCACCACTGCATTCCAGCCTGGTGACAGAATGAGACTCTCTCAAAAAGTACAAAAAAATCAGTCTGTTGCATAGGAAAGCTCCCTGTATTCACAGGACTGTGCCAACTCCTGACATGGTGTGTGGCCGGGGGTAAAGGGGGGAGGGTGGAGAACAGCTTAAATGCAGGGAGGGGATATGCCTGTGGGAAATGGCCTCTTGCCCAATGCAGATGGGTTTCTTTCACAGGGGAAAGAAAACCCTCAGTTATGACATTCTTGCTTCTAAGAATAGACAAAAACCAAGTTGTTCTGAATTACACTCCCAGTGACTAAGTGAAGTGCTCGTTCTACCCAGTAATATTATCACCGCGGTTTGCAGTAACACCCATATCATTGTATATGAAGAAGTGATATGAGCCACAAAAGAGACAAAGAAAATGCTACAGGAAAGACTGATGGTCTTGACCGACACCCAAACAGGCTGTCCAGGATTGGGGCCAGTCCAGGGGTGTAGCCTCAGCTAGACACCTTAGGTGGTCACAGGACCTTATTCCAACCCAGGCAATGGCTAGACCTCTGTGAAGGGAGACTGCATTGAAAAAGCCAACATTCCCAGTATCCGAGGGTGATGGCAGGGGCTTGACAGTCTTCTCCAGCAAGCCTGTCCTCTGCAGCTGTGCCATTTCCTCTTAAGTGGTTGACAAGCCTGATCTTTCATCTAGTTTTAGAAAAAAATGTGAAGGCAAGAAGCCTCAGAAATGAAGTATAAGAGGTTCACTGTTAACCTTCCACAGATCCCAGACGAGCCCCCAGAAATGACACAGGATTCGTTCAGTGCCACTGTGCCAGCTAGCAATCTTCATGGCCTGTGGCACACCTGCCTGTGCTTACTCACCTCTGGGCTCATTGCTGGGCTTTCTGTGCCCACTCAGCTCAGCAGACTGCTTCTGGCCCGGATTCCACGCCCATTGTGGCTCTGCATTCAACCCATAGCTGGTGCAGGTGTGCCATGACCATTTTCCAACTTGAGCACCAGTGTCTGGCTGAGGGTGACACTGCAGCACCCAAAATCTTGGAGATGCCAGCGGCCAAAGAGCCCCAGAGGGTGTATGGCTGTTGCCCATGGAGTCTTGAGGTCTGAGCCCTCAAGGACCATTACAGCTCACTCTCCTTCCCGCTGCCCACAGCATGGCAAACAGAGGTGGTAGGGACGCATGTTTCAACTCGTTCGTGTTACAGCTTGTTCTGTCCCCCCACCCTGCTTCAGTCTGTGGCTCCTGGGCTAGCCTAGCCCCATTGCCATTACCTGTCATATCGGGTGGCTGCCCAGTGTCAGCGGAGGGCTGGAGGGCTGCAGTGTTAGAGCTCCTTTCACACCCACTGTTCAGCGGGTTCTGGGCTTTTATCCTGCATTCAATAAGAATGAGGTTCTGTGGACACAGGAGAGTGAGCAGGTGGAAGAGGGTTTTATTGAATGACAGACGGCTCTCAACACGACAGGGGACCCAACATGGGTAGACCTTCATGTGAAAGAGGATTCCAAAGGCAGGTAGTCCCCACGTGTGACTGAGTCCTTGGTTTTTATGGGCTCAGAATGGGAGCGTGCATGCTGATTGGTCCATGAGTGGACCTGGAAAAAGCACCATTCAGTTGGCTGAAAGGTACTGAGGAAGTTCTCACTCTCATGGACTCTACCCTGAACTGGCTTTCAGGCTTCAGGCTGTCTTTGGCTTGAAGGTTGTCAGGTTTCACCAGGGACCTGCCCCTGTCCGCTTGCAAGTTTGTCTCCTGCTGCTAGCAATTGTACTTATTCATATTTCTATTTGGTGAGACGTTGTTCTCATAATTTCTTAGACATGATTTCCTTTAGTTTTTTCAACTTACTTTAAAATACCTCATTTAAAGTCTTAAGTCTAATGTCTGTATTTCTCTGGGTAGACTTTTGGTTTTTTTACTCTCTATGAGGCATACTTTCTTATTTCTTTGTATATCTCCTAAACTTTTGTGAAAAATTGGATGTTTTAAATAATACAGTGTGACAGCTCTTGGAGTTCGAGTCTCCTTCTTCCATGTTTGTTGTCTTAGCTGTTGCTGTTTGTCTAGTGAGTTTGTTGAACTAGTTTTATGAGGTCTATATTTGAAGAGTTGATATTCTGTGATTGGATGATGATTTCCTTAACTACTGGGAGCAAATAAATATCCCATTATTTGCCAAGGGGGTCTATGTGTGCATTGAGGCGTGCTTTAGTTCAGGCAAGCAACTGACCCACTCTCCTTAGCCTTCACTTTTTAAGGTTAAGGTTCTTGTTGGAATTGCTAACAATTCCCAAAAGGCATAAAATAAGAACCAAAGGAGTTCCTGTCTCAACTTTCATGCAGAGTAGGTCTTCTGTTGATTCTTTTTGTAAATCATTTGGCAAATAAGTATTCAAATACATAGCATTGTTGTGAGAACATGGTTTTCATTTCATACCATCAGCTGGCCTGGTCAATGCGGAAGTTCCGCAGTAGAGGAACATAGTTATTTATAATTGATTTATTGGTTCTCCTGTAAGTACTACTGTGAAATAGTTATCCTTTGTCAAACACTCTATTTTACTGGTTTAGCTAGAATTGTTTCCTGCCAAGGGGCCGCCTATTCTGTGAATTACACTTTGTATTGCCGCACAGCCTGGACACTAGACATTCCACCTAAGGTTCCCGTTGTGATGTCGGCGCATGTATAGCATTTTCAACAACAGTTTTAACCAAAAGTACAGAATTTAATATAAGTACCTAAACTTTTATTTCTTATTTAGGTTACCTACAACAAGAAAACCTCATTTCTACCTGCCAAACTTTTATTTTGGAAAGTTCAGATTTAAAAGAATATGCGGAACACTGTACAGATGAAGGGTTTATTCCAGCCTGCTTACTGGTAAGTTATTTTTTCCTGAAGGGAAATATTTTATCAACACAAGAGACTAAATATACATAGTCATAAAATCAGCTCATCCACCAAAAAAAAATTGAAATTGGCAAAAATTTGATGGTTTATATTCATGTATGACCAGTAAGACCCAAAGAAGGCCAGCTGTTCTTTTTACAAATTTATTACAGAACTATTAAGTGAATGACAGCTTTGACTCTGAGAATTAGTTTCAAAATGACACCCTCATTTCTGATTAGTTTCACTGCTGCTGTCTCCAAGCCTTTTTCTTTTCTTCCTGGCCTTTATCTGGCGCTCCTTTCAGACAAATATGAAACAGGTATTTTGGTATATTATTGTCATCTCTTTTGTCAAATATCACTAAACCAACAAACCATAATTTGGTACATAGTGGGTACGTTTTAAAACTACATTATTTTACATGGTGTTTGTCATTTTATTTTAAACATGACGCCTTAAGACTATCAAAGATAGCATGAGTGTCTGCTTAGGAAACTGAGAATGATCCAAAACTAAAGTTAAGCAAGGTCGTAGCATGCAGAGTATACAGAAATCCATTATATTCTCTATGCCTGCAATGAACAATTGAAATTTGAAAATTTTTTGAAAATACTCATTTATAATAGCAACAAACAGAATGCTTAGAGATAATCTAACCAAATAAGTGTGAAATCTATACGCTCAAAATTGCCTGAAAGAACTCTGAGGCCTGAATAAAAGGAGACTTGTACTGTTTGCATAGATTGAGAGACTCAATATTGTTAAGATGTTATTTCCTCCCAATTTAATTAAAGATTTTTCACAGTCAAAATGCCTGCAAGCATTTTTATAGATAACATGAAGCATTTTTTAGATAACACGAAAATTCCAAAGTTTAAATGGAAAAGGAACTAGAATAGCCTAAACAGTTTCTGAAAAAGAACAAGTTGGAGGACTCACATTACCAGATTTCAACACTTACTAAAAAATTATAATAAACAAGATTAAGGGGCATTTTTGATACTTTTGGCATATAGATCAATGGAACCAAATGCAAAGTCCAGATAGACCCACACATCTGATTTTGGCAAAGGTGTAAAGGCTATTTTTGCAGAAAGGATGGTCTTATCAGCAAATGGTGCTGGAACAATTAGACATCCACATACAGAAAAAGAACCTCTACAGGTACCTCATAACTTATGCAAAAATTAAGCAAAATGGATGAGAATGGAGAACATAGGACCGTAAGACTTCTAAATGAAATGTAAGAAAAAAATTGGGCAAAGTTGGGTTTGACAGTTTTGCTGAGACCAGCGCAGTTGTAGAGACCTCAAACCAGGCAGCGCTAAAGGAATGAAGGAACAGACACAGGCCACACGCAGTGGCTCATACCTGTAATCCCAGCACTTTGGGAGGCCAAGGCAGGAGGATCACACGGTCAGGAGATTGAGACCATCCTGGCCAACATGGTGAAACCCTGTCTCTACTAAAATGCAAAAAAATTAGCCGGGAGTGATGGTGTGCCCCTATAGTCACAGCAACTCAGGAGGCTGAGACAGGGGAATCACTTGAACCTGGGAGGCAGAAGTCACAGTGAGCAAAGATCCCACCACTGCACTTTAGCCTGGGCGACAAGAGCGAAACTCCATCTCAAAAAAATAAAAATAAAAAAAGACACAGAGGTAGAGTCAAAAGGTGGGACATCAGAGGGCTTCAGCATTCCCGGCTGAGAGCATCAAGCAAAGTTTGACCCATATGTTTATTGACAGCAAGCAAGCAAGTGATAATCATCATTCCTGCAGTTTATAGATTAACTGAAAGCATTCTTCACAGGGAACAAAGCATTCTTTACTAGTGGCGAGAAACAGGCTCTGAAGCGTTTATCTGCTACAACTGGAACTTGTCGTTAGGGCACGGGTGGCTCCTGGTATTGTTTGTGGTTCTGGAATGCCTTTAAGTAGTCTTCTGCCCTGGATGCGTTAGGTATTTCTTTCCCTTGCTCCAGTAAACCAACAGCCTCCAGCAACGTGTGTCACTGCCATCAGGAGTATGTTACAGTCCTATAGACACTTTGTTTATGGCCAGTTTCTTTAAGGCCTGTTTGTGACAGGCTTCAGGCCTGTTCCCAGCATGTCCCCCTTTTGGATTTTGCAAAGCGATAAAGGCAAGGGCAGCTTTGTCATGGAAGATTTTCCAGTTTGGCATGTGGCACAAGCAAAATGAGAAAATGTATCTATACATACATGCATATAAGCTAATTTTTCAAAAGAAGAGACATAGATAACATCCATTTGCCAAAGACAGTTTAGTTCCAATCCATGGGGGTAAACACTGCGCAGTAAAGGACGGAGAATGAATCATTTGACAGGTTCGGCATTGTTAATAATGGCTTTGGCCTCTTTTCAAGTAATATTACACCTTTGTTTAAGACCAGAGGCATTTACATGAGTCAAAGTGTGAAAGTGTTTAGCATTTAACAATGCTATAGCAACCAAGCGATCAGCCATTTGATTCCCTGCAGTTAAAGGTCCTAGGAGAGGTGTGTGAGCCCTGATGTGAGTGATGTAAAAAGGGTACATTCTATTCCTAACTGCGGTTTGCAACTGGGAAATAAAGTCATCAGCTGTTCATCTGTATTTAATCGAAGCTGAACATTTTCAATTAATTGTGTGGGAAAACCACATATGAAGAATCAGAAATTACATTAACAGGCATCTCGAAAGCATGTAAGACTTCAGTTACAGCTACGAGCTCTGCTTTTTGGGCTGAAGTATATGGCATCTGAAAAATTTTAGTTTTTGACCCAGAATAAGAAGCTTTATCATTGCTAGATCCATCTGTGAAAACATTTTCAGCACCTTCATTTGGTTTGGATTTAGTTATTTTAGGGAGAATCCAATTAGTTCTAAAAATTGAAATAATTTTGTTTTCAGAAAGTGATTATCAAGAACACCCACGAAAATCAGCTAACTGGGTTTGCCAAGTAAGACTGTTTATAAAGGTCTGTTGTATTTGAGCCTTTGGAATAGGGATAATAATTTTTCCAGGGTCATATCCATGTAATTTAACAACTCGAGTTCTCCCATTTCCTATCAGAGTAGCAATTTGATCCAAATAAGGAGTCAGAATCTGTGAATTTGTACAAGGAAGAAAAAGCCATTTTACCAAGTCTTGCTCTTAGACAATAACACCAGTAGGTGAATGCTGAGTTAGAAAAATCAGTAAGTCTAGAGTCTTTTTTGGATCTATTCTATTTATTTGAGCCTTATGCACTTGCTTCTCAATCAGCTGTAACTCTGCCTCAGCCTCCTTTGTTAATTGCCAAGGGCTAGAGAGACTAGGATCTCCTCTAAGGATAGAAAATAGGTTAGTCATGGCATAGGTAGGACTGCCTAGAGCAGGTCATATCTAATTAATGCCCCCTAGTAATTTTTGAAACTCATTTAATGTTTTTAATTGATCCCCGTGTGTGGTTTCTTTTTGTGGCACAAGGGTAATGTTATTTAGTAAGGTCACCAAGTAAGAGTAAGGAGTAGTAGTCTGAATTTTGTCAGGAGCTATAATTAAACCAGTACAAGAAATGGAATTTTGCAAGCAATCATAACATTGCAGTAATATTTCCTGAGTGGGAGCAGCACAAAGAATATCATCCATATAATGAATAATATGACACTGAAAATTCCTTTCTGGTGGGCTCAACGTGGCCCGTGTAAGTTTGACAAATTGTAGGACTGTTTAACATTTCTTGTGGTGACACTTTCCAGTGATATATTTCACATTTTTGGTTATCTATAGAAGAAATAACACAAATTGCTAACAGTCCTTTTCTGCCAAAGGAATGGTAAAGAAACAGTCCTTCAAATCAATAATAATTAGTGGCCAGTTTTTTTGAATCATAGCAGGAGAAGTCTCTAATGCCCCCATACCCATACGTTGTGTAACTGAATTCATGGCTCTAAGACCTGTCAGCGTTCTCCATTTACGTGATGTTTTTCTTGATAACCAAGACTGGAGAATTCCAGAAGGAAAATGTTGGAGCTGTGTGTCCCTTTTCTAATTGTTCAGTAACTAAGTCCTTTAAAGCCTCCAGTTCCTCTTTACTTGGTGGCCGTTGTTCTATCCGAATTTGCTTGCTTTTAACCACTTTAGAGGTATGAGTTCTGGAGGCTTAACAGTGAACCATCAAAAATGGTATTCTAGACCCTGACAGAATTCTGTCCTTCCACTTTAAGTGGTTCCTTTAATCCTTGTAAATTTTTTCCTGATCCATGCCAGGCACATTCCCCATCTCTTGCATCATATGCTGACTTTGTGGGCTGTATAATTGTTCTGGAATTAACACTTGAGCTCCCCATGGCCGTAATATATCTCTTCCCCATAAATGTATAGGTACAGAAGTTACAATTCGTTGAATAGTCCCAGATTGTCCATCGGATTCTTTACAATACAAAATATAACTGTTGATATATTTCAGGGGCTTTGCCAACTCCAGCTATGTTAAATTGAGCGTGTTGAATTGGCCATGCCGATGGCCAGTGCTGTAGAGAAATCATTGAAATGTCTGCTCTTGTATCTACCAATCCTTTAAATTTCTTTTTCTGAGTAGTTATTTTACAGGTAGGACATTTATCAACAATTTGATTTATCCAGTAAGCTGCTTTGCCTTGTTTATTTGCGCTTCCAAATCCTCCTATTCATATAGTTTCACTTTTTCCCATTTCCACATTTGGTACACTCAGGAGCTGTGCTATACGTTCTTCTGACACTGCCTCCCAGGGAACAGAAGTAGATAGAACAATTTGAATTTCCCCATTGTAATCTGAGTCAGTGACTTCGGTTTGTACTTGTACTCCTTTTAAATTTAAACTAGACCTACCTAGAAGTAATCCTATCATCCCCACAGGCAAGGGTCCACAGACTCCTGTTGGCATTTTTTGCAGGGGTTCCCCAGGCAGAAGGCTCACAGCTTTTGTGCCACATAAATCTACTGTGGCACTACCTGCTGTGGCAGGGGACAGGCATTGTACAGGGATGAGGGAGTAGCCTGAGTCAGAAATACCCCAGTTTGGAATGGGGCCCAGAATGTGCCCCTCATGGCGTTTCTCAAAATCAGGTTTCCATCTTTATCAAACTTAGAGTGATACTTACTAGCCCAGTGTTTTCCTTTTTAGCATTTTGGACATATTTCAGGCTCAGTAATTTTCTTTTTTCCCCTAACTGGCAACCTGACTCACTGATTTTTTTCTATGTTCTTTTTTAGTGTGACCGTGCTTCCCACCGTTAAAACAAGCTCCAGAAAATGGAGTATTTCCTTTACCCACTTTCAGTCCTGCCATTGCCTGGGCCAGTAAAGTAGCCTTATGTAGATTACCTCTAATACCATCACAAGCTTTAGTATAGTCAACCAAATGTGCTTTTCTTCTAATGGGTCGCAAAGCGGCTTGACTCTCAGGACTGACATTGTCAGAAGCTAATAACTGCAACACTATATCCTGAGCAGCCGAATCTACAGTCACCTTTTTCAGAGACTCCTGTAATCTGGATATAAAATCTGTGTACGTTTCTTTTGGCCTCTGCTTAACCGCACTGAAAGAAGGGTATTGTTCTCCTGAAGTGATTTTTTTTCCCAAGCTCTACTGCACACTCCTCTAAGCTGCTCTATGGCATCATCCTGCACAACCACTTGTTCACCTAAACCAGCCCAGCCACTGACCCCCAAAAGTTGGTCTGCAGTTATATTAATTTGAGGTTGGGCCTGGGTGTTGCGAGCAGCCTGGATGGAAGCTTCATCTGACCACCAACTTTTAAATTCTAAGAACTGGGTAGGAGTTCTTACAAGCGCAAATAGGAGTTCAGACAAGCTCGAGTAAGAGGAATCATCCGGCTGGAGACAGGAACATTCTTTGACAGGCCCATTACAAAAGAAGAACCTGGTCCATATTGATTGATTGATAGCTTGTTTAAATTCGTTAAGTAATTTAAAAGGAAAGGCTCAAACGTAGCCATAAGATTTCCCTGTTGATCAGGTGGGTATAGTCTAACAGGGAGCTGCCAAGCATCCATATCGCTCTCATCTGGCTTCTTGGATTCCTGCCTGAGTAGAACTAAGAGCAGTCACTCAAGGCGCTGCCTGAGCAGTCACTGGGGCAACTACTTTTTGCCCATTGTTCTTTGGAAAAGAAAGATCCAGAGGATCAGGCCACTTCTTTAAAATAGCGAGTTGGGGGCAGAGGGGCAGGGACAAACCACTCCCTCCTTTGCCATTTTAGCTGGCAAGCAAACCTGCTCTGTCACCTCCTCTGGTACTTTGTTATACTCTCCTTCCTCCTCTTATTCTTCCTCCTTGTCATCTGTGTGGAAAGATGCCAAGGCAGAGCAAACTAAAGCCCGTACTGACCAAACAGTTAGAGGGACATCCTCAGCTCCTTCTTTATAAAGCAGTGGAAGACAGAGAGAGCAACAGGAGAATGGAGTGAGAATTCATCGTAAACAACTGGCAGCTCAAGTGCTAGTATTAACTCCTTCTTTTTTGAGGAGCTGCCAAAGGAGACTCAAATAAGCATCGTGCCTGCTCAACCCCTGTCCCATTTGTTACTCTGATGTTTCCGAGCTCCCCTTCTTACTCACCACAGGGATAGCTTTAAGAGTACTCGGGTGTCCTCCAGCTTAATTCTGCATTCTCCAGCTGTCACTCCAGTGACCCTTCATCCTGGGTTCAAGCCCCATGTTGGGCATCACTTGCCAAGACCAGCTCAGTCGGCACAGGCAGCACTGAAGGAATTAAAAAACAGATACAGAGAGTGCAAAAGGTGGGACATCTGGGGCCTCAGCATTCCCAGCTGAGAGCCTCAAACAGAGTTTGACCCACATTATTTATTGACAGCAAGCAAGTGATAATCATTACTGCAGTTTATGGATTAACTAAAAGTATTCTTTGCAAGGAACAAAGCATTCTTTATTAGTGGTAAGAAACAGGCTCTGACACATTTATCTACTGTAACTGGAACACATCATTAGGGTGCAGATTGCTCATGCTTTGTTTGTGATTCCGGAATGCCTTTAAGCAGTCATCCACCTTGGATGAGTCAGGTATTTCTTAGAGATGGAACTCTTGTTTGTTGCTGATAAGAATGCATAATCATACAGTTACTTTGGAAAACAGTTTGACTTTTGCTTATATGATTAAGCATATACTTCCCATGTGACCCAACACTCATATTACCCAAATCAACTAGAAAATTTATGTTCACACAAAAACCTACACTGGTGTTTGCTCATAGTGGTCAAAAACTGAAAACAGGGCAGGTGTGATGGCTCACACCTGTAATCCCAATCCCAGCACTTTGGGAGGCCAAGGCAGGAAGATGGCTTGAGGCCAGGAGTTCAAGGCTACAGTGAGCTGTGAGCAGCCACTGTACTCCAGTGTGTGTGACAGAGCAAGACCCTGTCTAAAAAATAAAAAATTTAAAAACTGGTGACAACCAAGATGTTTTTCAGAAAGTAACAAACTGATATGTTCATACAAAGCAGTACTACTGCTCAGCAATAAAAAGCAACATGCTATTGATTCACCCAGTAACATGGATGAATATTAAATAAATCCTTCTAATTCTCCTAGATTAATAATTCTAAACAAATAACAAATTGTAGATTTGTTCCTCACTGTGTGAGTAAGAAGATATAAATGAGCATAATAATGAAACCAGTGGTGCTGGATTATAGTCTGCGATTTAGTGTGACACTGGTTATTTTAATATACGTACGGACAGATACAGAAATAAAAATGCTTGTATGTATGCACCTGTACATGAATGTATAGCTGTCTGCTGAGAGGGCCTAGAAGCAGTGATCCCAAGTAGCTATAATGTCCTAGTCAAACGGGCAAGATTCTTTAGAAGCTTGGATACAAACTCTAACTTCAGTGATTAGTTTTGGTTTTGGTTACCTGCTTCTTTACCCTTTCCTCATCAGCTGCTCTGCAGTCAGAGCGTTTGTTAACTTGAATGGTGGAATTTTTTTTGTGAAATTATTAGTCGTATTATACAATTTTAGTAATGTTTGATCTTTTTCTTTCAGTCCTTATTTGGAAAAAACTTGACAACAATTTTGAATGAATATGTAGCTATGAAAACAAAAGGTAAAAGTTTTGACCTAGAGGGTTTTTTTGCTGATATATGCAATATTTATCTAATTGCTTTAGTTAAAAAAATTTTTTAAAGGTTATTAATGTTTCATAAAAGCCTTGAGAAAACGTGTCTCATTTGTGATGAGATAAATATTTCTGGGACATATCTAATTATTTTGTATTTATATTGAGTAATAGATAAATTGCAACAGTCTTAACATTAGCAAAAATAACCCATAAAATTATCTTTTAAAAAGATGTAAAATAAAACTCTTACCTCTGCATTTACACTGATAAACAGACATCACTATGTGTTAGAAAGTTTTAAACTGACATTTTAATTTTAATTCTGTGTTAAGTCTCAAGATAGAAGCCAGTTATAAACTTACTACCAGAATATAAAATTCTACTTGCTTAAATTAAGGATATTTTAGAGGAAATGTTTTGACTGCTTATTTTCTAATATTGATTGTTTTCAATGGCTTACAACATTAACAAAACAGTCAGCATTAAAAAATTGACGTAAGATGATAACAGAGGAAAAGAAGCTTGATACTGGCTGTATATAAGCATCGTGCTACATGCTTTTGTATGTTTTCTCTCCTTTAGTCCTTAGAGTAACCCAGTGAGAGGTGTTGTTTAAAGCCATTTTTAAATGTGAAGAAGTTGATGATTAAATTTCCACACTTACAAGTAATTTGTATAACCTTTGTGATCATTATAAGACGTATTATTTTAATTCTGTATCATATGTCATATGATATCAGACAGAACAAAGATCAAAAAACTGTTTCTCCTCTTTTTTAATAAAATGGAGGTATAAAATTATTGGCCTAAAAAATGCTTCCAAGATGTTACAGGTGTCCATTTCTACTCCTATTATATCTGATACTCTGGCTTCAGGAGAGAAAGCAGCCTCATTATAGCTTTGCAAGCTGTTTTACAAAATAGATTTACTTCTCATTTCCCAACATCCTGTCAATAATTGAGAGAGAAGCTTTTTGTGTGTCTTTGTTCAAAATGAATGATGAACTTCTTCAACTGGGTTCAATGAGAACCTTTTCCTCTTACGATTTAGAAACATCAAATAATGTCCCAGCAATAATGTCATCTCTGTGGAAGAAGCTGGATCACACCCTTTCTCAAATCAGGTAAGAAGCTCTTAGAATGTGCCTAATTGTTTTGGAATGCAGATATACTCGGGGGTTACATTTTCTTAAGACCTACACAGTGTACTTACGTAACACTCATTCAGTTTTGAAATTACTCTAGAGGTTGTTGGTACTGTAGATGTTATTGATTGACATAATTTGAAATAAGTGGCATACTTTTAATAAAATATTTACAAAGCTAAGATAATAGAAGTTTAGTGATGTTTCCATAGCAATTTAGAGGCGGATATATTGCTAGAATACAAATGACCTAATCCCAAGCCACTGCAAATTCCCTTAGGAAACACCTCTTCATTACATATTCATAGGGCATTGAACCCATGCCCACTTGGTTTCTTACCTTGTAAAGAAGCTTGAAGAATAATGCTAATTCTGGAATCTTCTGGTATCAATTTTATGAAAATCTTATATTTGACTTAGAATCTGTTATGAAAATTACAGTCTCTTAACCTTTCTTTCAGAGCCATGAGTGACTACCCCCACATAACTTCAGCCTGGGTTTCATTTTCTTCCTCTGCTTAAACTGCTAAAATGGCTCCAAATGCTTTCTACATAACTCTGGACCATATCTTATCTTTATATTTCTCTTTCCTGACTCGAGTTTTGTAGATGTTGTTGGCAGAGACTCGCTTGACATATTTTTTATGATAATGGTACAGTGTCTGTGATTTTATCAAGTAAAAGGGTGGGCCACTCCAATTCATACTGAAAGAATTAAGTTGTACTAGGCCGGGCGTGGTGGCTCACACCTGTAATCCTAACAGTTTGGGAGGCCGAGGTGGGCAGATCACAAGGTCAGGAGATCAAGACCATCCTGGCTAACATGGTGAAACCCCATCTCTACTAAAATACAAAAAATTAGCCGGGTGTGGTGGCTCATGCCTGTAGTCCCAGCTACTGGGGAGGCTGAGGCAGGAGAAAAGCAAGATTCTGTCTCCCAAAAAAGAAAGAACTTGTACTGTGAATTTTTTCATGTTTGTTTGTATCTTCTTTAGAGGTTCAGTAAAATAATTTCATAGTCATAAATTTGATAAAAGCAGGATGTCCTCTGACATCCTCTTGGGGATTCTGAAGTATTTATATATGGAGTCATGTGAAATCAGAATTTTTCTGTGGGAAGTGATCTGTATAATTATGAAAAATAATATATACTTTGTATATAGCTCACTTAAATATGTGTAGAGTTTCTAAAGTTAAATTATATTATTTTTACTTTTGAAGAGGCAGGGTCTCTCTGTTACCCAAGCTGGAGTGCAGTGGTGTGACTATAGCTCTTGTAGCCTTGAACTCCTGAGCTCAAAAGTTCCTCCCACCTTAGCCTCCCAAGTACCGGGGACTATAGGCACGTGCCATCTGGCTAATTTTTATCTTATTTTATAGAGACAGGGTCTTGCTGTGTTGCTCAAGCTGGTCATGAACTCTAGGCCTCAAGTGATCCTCTCACCTGAGCCTCACAATGTGCTGGGATTATAGGCGTGAGCCACCACACCCAGCCCAGATGGCATTCTTAACGTAATATCAAGGCACTCAGTGCATATCGCATTGGATAGAAACTTCTTAACTAAATTTATGTGTGTTGTGACTGTGTCTGCATGCGGCTATTTTTCTCCTAAAGCAAATCAGAGTTACCTACCCAAAAAAGTGTTTGTTTTTTTGTCTGAGAGAGATGTTTTGCCTTTTACCTCATAATTTACTTCAGGTCTGACTGTAACAATCATAGTGGATACTGGCAACAAAAAATTTTTGGATGGATAACTACTTTGTTTTCTTTGTTAGGAGCATGCAAAGTTCCCCAAGGTTTGCTGGCAGTCAGAGAGGTTGGTATCCAACTTAAAACAATGTTCATAGTCCCTTCAGACTCAAACTATCAGATGAACACTTTAATTAATAATACACGTGTGCCAAGTATATATTTTGCTTAAAATACTGTTTTTCTAAGTACAATATGTCAAATATTTTTATCTAAAAATATTTTGTAAATACTCTACATTTCCCATTGACTCTCATGTAGAATGTTTTTTTCTTTCAACCCGAGCAGATGAAGGAAAGAATGTTTTAATTCTCATTTCATAAGTGTAGGTTTCTTAAATCATGGGGGTATTATCAATATTAATTATTGCAGAACAAATATAATCTTGGATTTATAAAGCTGGAGTGTATTCATTTTAGTTTCTTCCGAAAGTCACATGAATTTAGTTCATATTTTTAGGGGCCATTCTTCAGTCTGTTGATGTAACATGTTAGATTATGTAGTAGTATGCGTCATACTGACTTTTTCAAATCCCCAGACTACCCTGACATTGAATTTGGTTTTTAAATGCTTATATGTTTCAGCCCGAACAAGAACTGGGATTGCAGAAATCAAACGGCAGAGAAAGCTCGCATCTCAAACAGCTCCAGCCAGTGCAGAGTTGCTGACTTTACCTTACCTTTCAGGACAGTTTACCACTTCTCCTTCCACAGGTACACAAGTTACTCGACAAAGTGGCCAAATTTCAAATCCATCGAGGTCATATTTCGTAGTGGTCAACCATTCACAGTCACAAGATACTGTAACCAGTAAGTTTGCATTTTGTTCTCTTAAGTTTTGTTGTTAAATAAATCATATGAATGAGATAGTCTACTAATGTCTTTATATTCATAGTGTAAAACTATGCCCCCCCCCCCCAAAAAAAGGATAAAGATTAAAGGTGGAGCAGACTTCTAGATTTGCTACAAACATACAAAATCTTTAAGGAATTTTAATCTAGGATTCTACCTGTTTCTACTCTAACTGAAGTCCAACTTTGAACTCTTTTCTCATTCTCAATTTTTGGCATTAAGAGAAAAGGACCCTGTGGTATTTTATTTTAAATAGAATGTACATTATATTTTTCTACCCCCTTGCTTTTGTTGATGTCAGTCTGTCCTCGTGGAATGAAGAATGCCTTTCCACTTCTCTGTCTTTACATGTTAGAAATCCTACATGTATCTGGCTGAACCTTCTAGTTAGGAATATCCTTAGAGAGTTTGTGGTATATCTTATTTGTTGTATACTTGAAACTTTTGAATACACATGATAGTAAGGGACAAGAAGCTAGCTAATAACAGAGTTGGGATTATAATTCAGGATTTAGCACTCTTGGTTCACAAACCAATCATCTTTCTGTGCAGCTAAAATTGATTGCTATTCATTAAGATCACCCTCATTTTTACCTTTTCTCTAAATCATTTTCTGCACCCAGAGCACTTAGTTTATACTTTTTAGACTTTTTCCATCCTACCACGTTATTTTTTGCTGAAGCTATACTGTACTTTGGATTTTACTGAAAACCTTAAGGCATAAAGACTATATTAATCTTAATATCTTTTACTATGCTTTACACATGGTAGGAATTCAGTACATGTCAACTGAATTTAATATAAAATAATAACCACTATGTAATGCTTCTTATCCTATTACGAGTTTGGAAAACTATTCAGTTTCTTTGGCTTACTGTTACGTTTTCTTGAAATACAGCTGGAGAAGCTTTAAACGTCATTCCTGGCGCTCAGGAAAAGAAAGCACATGCCAGTTTAATGTCTCCTGGTAGACGCAAAAGGTAATGCTTTTTAAAAGAGAAAATTGCCCATATCCATTAAAAAAAATTACATCAGGATACTTACATTGTGAATAAAGTAATAAGACTACATTAAGTTCTAATCTACTATTAGAACTATTCCAAAATACATTCCCTTTCTTCACATTCTAACATGCCTAAAATAAGGTTGCATCTCTGAATTAATAGCATATCACCGTTCCGTGGGAAATATGTTTATTCTGTAATAGTATATAAAATAATGGTATATCTTACAAATAATGTTATCTTAGATTTTTAGAAATCCATGTTTTTTAATTGAATATAAATAATACCATAATATCCTATGCTTCACACACATTTGAAGTCCTAAATCAATTGATAGAATATGTCCAGGTATAATCTTTGAGAAGAGTTTTTTTCTGTCTTTCTTATCCTTTGTGTCTTTGTTTGAAGTTAGAAAAGAGATAGTAGTTTTTAAATGTTTTTTTCTAGTTTCTTAGCTGCCCAAGCCCTGGGTGTTTTTGTTAGGCTTCTTACTTTTGGTTATCTCTCATTCAAGACTGACCTTAGCCTCCTTTATTGGAACCTTTTTCTCACTTCACCATATAAAATAACAAACAGCAATATTGATTTATTTATTGTTAGAGGCAGGGTCTTGCTCTCTTGCCCAGGCTGGAGTATAGTGGTGTGATCATAGCTTATTGTAGCCTCAAATTCTTGGGCTCAGAAGATCCTCCCACCTTAGCCTCCCCAATAGGCAGCACCATAGGTGCATGCCACCACACCCAGCTAATTTTTTAATTTTAATTTTTTTTTATTTTTTAATTTTAATTTTTTTTTTTGAGACGTAGTCTTTCTCTGTCACCCAGGCTGGAGTGCAGTGGCGCAATCTCAACTCACTGCAACCTCCACCTCCTGGGTTCAGGCAGTTCTCCTGCCTCAGCCTCCTGAGTAGCTGGGATTACAGGAGCATGCCACCATGCCCAGCTAATTTTTTGTATTTTTAGTGGAGACATGGGGTTTCACCAAGTTGGTCAGGGTGGTCTTGGAACTCTTGACCCCGTGATTCGCCTGCCTCAGCTTCCCAGAGTGCTGGGATTACAGGCATGAGCCACCACGCCTGGCCATTTTTTAATTTTTTATAGAGATGAGGGTCTCACTTTGTTGTCCAGGCTGGTCTCAAACTCCTGACTTCAAGTGATCTTCCCATCTCGGCCTCCCAAATTGCTGGGATTATAGATGTGAGCTACCATGCCCAACCATAAAAGAGCAATATTAATATTTAACCTTTATAGGAACTTTGATTCTTTAAAATCTTTATATATACTTTCATTTCATTTCATTCTTTAGTAAACCCAGTGATGCAGTTGTTCTTGCCCATTATAAAGTGGGTGAGAGAGTCAGAGCTTACTGTGCTTCAGACCATATAGGTGGTAAGTGGTAAAGCTAGACTTCAAACTCATTTTTTCTGAATCCAGGACTAATACTTTTTGTACCTTACTGCCCCCTGTTCTTACCACAAACAGAAAATACAGTTGACCTTGAACAACACGAGTTTGAACTGCATGGGTCCATTTATACTCAAGTTCTTTTCAACCAAACACAGATTGAAAATTTACTAGTAAAACCTACCTATATACAGCATGCTGGATTTTTGAATACATGGTCTTTCTAGGGCAGACTGTAGGACTTGAGTACATGTGGATTTTGGTATCCTTGGGGATCCTGAAACCAGCCCCATGCAGATACAGGGACAACCGTGTCTATTCTCCTATGGTGATTTTAAAATTTATGTCTGTGGTGATTTTAAAATTTATGTATTTATTTTTAAGTCTGTTAAACGTAGTAGGTTGAAAGAAAAGCTTTTAAAATGTGTTTCAGTGAATCTCAGAGAAAAAGTGCCATTTTATCTGGCCCTCATTCAACAATACGGAATTTCCAGGATCCAAACGCATTCGCAGTAGAAAAAGTAAGTGACCCTACCAAACTTTGTAACTTGAAATATTCCTGAGTTTAAAAATACAGATATGTGGCCGGGCGCAGTGGCTCACACCTATAATCCCAGCACTTTGGGAGGCCGAGGCGGGTGGATCACAAGATCGAGAGATCGAGACCATCCTGGTCAACATGGTTAAACCTCATCTCTACTAATACTAAAAATACAAAAATTAGCTGGGCATGGTGGCGCGCGCCTGTAATCCCAGCTACTCGGGAGGCTGAGGCAGGAGAATTGCTTGAACCCAGGAGGCAGAGGTTGCGGTGAGCCGAGATTGCGCCATTGCACTCCAGCCTGGGTTACAAGAGCGAAACTCCGTCTCAAAAAAAAAAAAAAAATACAGATATGTGCACAAATGTGTGTGTGTTTATACATATATATACCAGATTAGAAACTAGGGTAAGTTCATAGATACCTGTAAATACATTGTTGTTGTTGGATCATTTAATAAAATACTGGCTGGGTGCAGTGGTACATGCCTGTAATCTCAGCACTTTGGGAAGCTGAAGTGGGCAGATTGCTTGAGCTCAGGAGTTTGAGACCACCCTGAGCAACATGGTAAAACCCCATCTCTACAAAAAATACAAAAATTAGGTGGGTGTGATAGCACGTACCTGTAGTTCCAGCTGCTTGGGAGACTGAGGTGGGAGAATCGCTTAAGCCTGGGAGTTCGAGGCTGCAGTGAGCCATTATCATACCACTATACTCAAACCTGGGTGACAGAGTGAGACTCTGTCTTAAAAAAAAAAAACTGGCCGGGGAGTAGTGGCTCATACCTGTAATCCCAGCACTTTGGGAGGCCAAGGCGAGTGGATCTCTTGAGGACAGGAATTCGGGACCAGCCTGGCCAACTATCTTTTCTAAAAATACAACAATAAGCTGGGTGGGATGGTTCACACCCATATTCCCAGCTACTGCTCAAAAGGCTTAGGCATGAGAATCGCTTGAACCAGGAGGTGTGGGGATTACAGTGAACTGAGATCCCGCCAGTGTACCCCAGCCTAGACTACAAAGCAACACTCTGTAAAACAAAATAGGGCATTTACTGGAGTTCGATGATAAGCTGAAGAGTGTGGAACTGTGTAAGAAAGAGTTGGTGAAAAACACCTGCAAATTGTAAAGTGCTGTATTCAGGTATTAATATGGAGGGAGCCACCACAACTTCTGAGTTTCCATTTAGGATTATTAAAACTATCCAGCTCTTATTGGTTTGTTCTTTTCAAATTATTAAATAACAGAATCCTCTTTATTGTCCTTTTGCTAACAGTGGTTTTCTCTTCCAGCAAATGGTTATTGAAAATGCACGAGAAAAAATTCTAAGCAACAAATCTCTTCAAGAAAAGCTAGCAGAAAACATAAATAAATTTTTAACTAGGTAAGCTATATATGTGTGTGTTTGAAATGCCTAACTTTTGCCTAATTGCATAACTATAATAAAGAATTTTCTTTCTTTATTACAGTGATAACAATATTGCCCAAGTACCTAAGCAAACAGATAACCACCCTACGGAGCCAGAGACTTCAATTGATGAATTCCTAGGACTTCCGGTATGGATGGGGGTGGGGTGTGTGTGTGTTACTTATAGTTAAGACTTAACGGTATTTTGGTTTCATTTCAAAACCATTGCCAACATAAAATTTATGATTTGCCATTTGATTAGATTAAATGATTTACAATAATAAGATAAGACTTTTCTTCATTCATTGATGTAATCTGTTCCTGAAAAATATGTTGGATGGTGACTTAAAATAGAGTCTATATTGCATCCACAGTCATGAAATCCTAAGTATTTAATACTTAAAAATTCATTAGTGGGTATATTTATGTGTAATAAACAGCAATACAGTGTTCATATAAATTACATTTCTTCTACACTGCTACATATTATGTAATATTTTAAAGAAACAATGAAATGATATGTTAAAGATGTGTAATGGGGCCAGGCACAGTGGCTCAAGCCTGTAATCCCAGCACTTTGGGAGGCCAAAGAGGGCAGATCACTTGAGACCAGGAGTTCAAGACCAGTCAGGCCAACCTGGTGAAACCCCATCTCTACTAAAAAATAACAAAAATTAGCTGGGCATCATGACACGTGCCTGTAATCCCATCTGCTCGAGTGGCTGAACCAGGAGAATCGCTTGAACCCAGGAGGCAGAGGTTGCAGTGAGTGGAGATGACACCACTGCTCTCCAGCCTGGGCAACAGAGCAAGACCCTGTCTCGAAAAAAAGATATGTAATGAATCCAAGTAATAGTTAACTAAATAAAATTAACAAGCCTCTTTTTAAAAAGAAAGATCAGTAACCAAATGACAATTTGCCTGTGTGAGACTCACTACTAAGAAAAGAAAGATGGGAACCAGAGTCACTGTTGCTGTTCATTGCTGGTAAATACGAAAGACAGTGACCTGTAAAGGAGGAATTTAATAGTTTAAGATATACTCATATGCAATATACATTTTTTTTTTTTTTTAGAAACAGGATCTCACTCTTGCCCGGGCTTGAGTGCAGTGGCACAGTCATGGTTCACAGCAGCCTCAACCTCCCCAAGCTCAAGTGATACTACCACTTCAGCCTTCTGAGATGAGAAGCTGGGACTACAGGCACATGCCACCATGCTCAACTAATTTTTGGTTTTTGTTTTGTTCTTTTGAGATGGAGTCTCGCTATGTTGCCCAGGTTGGAGTGCAGTGGCTCAATCTCGGCTCTTTACAACCTCTGCCTCACAGGTTCAAGTGATTCTTCTCCCTCCGCCTCCCAAGGAGCTGGGATTACAGACATGGGCCATCACACCTGGCTAATTTTTGGATTTTTAGTAGAGACAGGGGTTTCCCCATGTTGGTCAGGCTGGTCTTGAACTCCTGCCCTCAAGTGATCTGCCTGCCTCAGCCTCCCAAAGTGCTGGGATTACAGGGGCGAGCTACCGCGCCTGGCCCGAATACCCTTTTTGAAGAGCAGCTGCAGTTGTGATTTTAGGACATCTTTTTACTTGGACCATTGGACAATGAAAATGTTTTATTAAGATGCCCATTTGAGATTATGACAGCAGGTTTTCTTTCAGGTGAATTCTGGGTAAAGCCATTGAGCCCTTCAATTGTTTTTTATATGTCAGTTCTATCAGTACTTCTTTTGAAAGCGTCTCTTATCTTACCATTTAACAAGTACGGGCCAGGCACAGTAGCTCATGCCTTTAATCCCAGCACTTTGAGAGGCCTAGGCAGGAGGACTGCTTGAGGCCAGAGGTTCAAGACCATCCTAGACAGCATAATGAGACCTCTTTGCTACAAAATATTTTTTTTAATTAGCCAGGTATTGTGGCATGCACCTGTCGTCCCAACTACTTGAGGGGCTGAGATGGGAGGATCACTTGAACCTGGGTGGTCAAGGCTGCAATGAGCTATAATTGCACCACTGCACTCCAGCCTGGGCAGCAGAGCGAGACCTTGTCTCAAAAGCAAAAAACAAATATGTATGCTCTGTTCTAAGTTTTCGTATTCTCCAACTTTTTGCTTATTGTTTCTCTACAAATACATCAGGTGCTTACCATAATCAGGGTACTTCTGTTAAATACTGTGAAGGTTTGTAAGAAAGTAAAGACACAACCTATTGTTCTTAGTTGTTCATAATACTGTATTTGTAAAAAGTTAAGAATTAAGATTTATCCAGGTGGGGCGGCTCATGCGTGCAATCCCAGCACTTCTAGAAGTTGAGTCAGGAGTTTGAGACCAGCCTGGCCAACATGGTGAAACCTCATCTCTACCAAAAATTAGCTAGGCGTGGTGGCGCGCACTTGTAATCCCAGCTACTTGGAAGACTGAGGTAGAAGAGTTTCTTGAACCCAGGAGGCAGAGGTTGTAGTAAGCCAAGATCGTGCCACTGCACTCCAGTCTGGTGACAGAGTGAGACTTCATCTCAAAAATTAAAAAAAAGAATTAAGATTTAAATAACAGATTTTAAGACAGTATAGGGAATTTTAAAAAAACATAGACCCATAAGGACAAAACAAAAGAGGGCAACAAAAACACTTTTTGGATGCTGAAATGATTAAGTGGTACCTGACCAAGCACGTTCAGGGTTCTAAGCCAATAAAGGCAAAGACCAGAAACAAAGTGATTTTCTAACACAGAAATCCTAAAACGTTCAAGAAGTAGCACATCCGAAAGAGCCTCTAAAGGTGAGGCTACAAACAGGATAATAAGGAGCAAAAGTAAGGAAGTAGTTAAACTCTATCTAGTCCTTATTTCTCATGCTCCCCCAGAAACACTGTTGTCAGTCATGAGATCTCCGAGCAAGAAACCCAACTAGCTCAAAAGGAAAGAACTAAAAATACCAATGGCTCTACAACATTGTTCCGTAGCTTAGCTTGTAGCTGACGGGCTCAGCCCTGCCACTGGTACAGGGCTTTTGAGGTAGGTTTTGGCATGTTACTTGTGTAGCTGAACAGGTAAGTAAGGATTGTCGACATTTAAAGAAAGCATTTTACATGAAGAACCCAAAGCAAACGGATAAAGGGATAAAATACATTTGTGACGAAGGACCTGTAAAGCAGTCTACAATGGAGTCACGCAAAGAAAGCAGGTTATAGAGTTTTAGTTTGGGCCAGGCACAGTAGTAACGCATGCCTGTAGTCCCAGCACTTTGGGAGGAGCCCAGGAGGTCAGGACCAGGCTGGGCAACATGGCGAAGCCACATCTCTACAAAAAAATACAGAATTATCTGGGTGTGGTGGCACAGTGTATAGTTTCAGCTACTCGGAAAGCTGAGGTGAGAGGATCACCTGAGCCCGGGAGTCAAGGCTGCAGTGAGCTATGATTGCACCACTGCATCCCACTCCAGCCTAGGTGACAGACCCTCGCTCAAAAAAAAAAGAACTTTATAGTATAATTTTATTTCTGTTTATATACATATATTCCTTTTATATCATTTTAGTATTTAAGAATATATTCACCAGAGTACTCACCTCCAGAAAGTAGAATTGGGAAACATTCACCTTCTATTATCTAGTTTTATTTTAATTTGTTAAAAATGAGCATATCATTAGAAGAAATTTTCTTGGAGGCGGGGGATGCTACATAAAATGTCAAAAATATTCAGGTGTCTTCTATTTATTTTGCTGGTATTAAATCATATTATTCAGGCTGGGCACAGTGGCCCACGTCTGTAATCCCAGTGCTCTGGGAGGCTGAAGCAAGAGGAACACTTGAGCCCAAGAGTTCAAGACTAGCCTGGGCAATGTAGCAATCCCATCTCTACCCCCACCCCCAAAAAAAATTACCTGGACATAGTGGTGTATCTATAGTCCCAGCTACTCTAGAGGCTGAGGCAGGAGCCCAAGAATTTCAAGTTATAGTGAGCTACAGTTACACCACTACACTCCAGCCTGGGCAAGAGAGTGAGACCTGTCTCATAAATATATACAATACGTAAATATATATAAATTCAGTGAGAATCATGCCTTTGCCCCACTCCTTTCTTGCAGAGTGAAATCCACATGTCTGAAGAAGCTATACAAGATATACTGGAACAGACAGAATCAGACCCAGCATTTCAGGCACTCTTTGATCTCTTTGACTATGGTAAGGAGACCATTTATTTTAAGACAATTAGAAAAAATGGCTTTTCCAGTTTCTTTCATAACTTAACCAGAGTGAATCAACATTCCCCAGAGTATCTAAAAAAGTTCTTATTTTCTTTTTTCTTCTATATATATATATATTCTTTTTTCTTCTTTATATATATATATAAAATATATATATATATTTTATAGAGACGGGGTTTCACCATGTTGGCCAGGATGGTCTCAATCTCTTGACCTCATGATCCGCCCACCTCGGCCAGTGTGCTGGGATTACAGGCATGAGACACCGCGCCTGGCCAAAAAGTTATTTTCATTAGATCACACATTATATGGATATGTTAAAGGAGTTGTTTTTTTGTTTGTTTTTACTTGAGAAACTTTACCTATTAATGTGGAGAGTAGTTTTGTTTTTTATTTTTGTGGCATTTTTACCAGTCAACAGTGAGTGTGTTGATGTCTGCCACTGTACAAATGTACTAAACACAATGGAATGATACAAAGGGAATGTAAAAAACTGGCTGTTGTCCTCAATCCTATGGTTTAGTGCAGCAGTTCTCAAAGTATAGTTCCCCAAACCAACAATCTCAGCATAATCTGAGAACTAGTTAGGAAAAGCAAATTACAGGGCCTTCCAGGACATTACAATACAGGTTAAAGTTTAAGAAACCCCTATTCGGTGGAAAAATCTTTGTACCTATAAATGATATTAAAAGCAACATTTTTAAATTGTTCATAAAACCCTGAATCAAAGTTTAACATTGGCTTAATCACCCCCAAGCTGTATTCATTGATGCCCATTTTTTGTTTTCGTCATTTGCTAATTATTTCCCTATTCCCTTTTTAACAGGTAAAACAAAGAATAATAAAAATGTGTCACAAAATATTTCCAGTCAGCCTATGGAATCCAATCCCAATATAGTCTTAGCAGATGAAACTAATCTAGCAGTTAAAGGTTCTTTTGAAACAGAAGAATCTGGTAAGAATTTGATTTTGTTAATATCACCAATCCAAATCTTAGTATTAGTCTCAAAATTCAAAGGCAGAAAATATTGTTTAATTTGGAAGCAGAAGTTGTTCAGATTATCACAGGTCATTTTTGTACTTTTAGTTTTCTCTCCATTAAAAACAATTATAAGTCTTTGGTAGTTTAATTTTTAAAAATTGGGGGTATTTATTCTTTTACTATAAGCTTTTTTTGTTGGTGTATGTTTGTTTTTTTTGAGACAGGGTCTTGCTCTTGTCATCCAGGCTGGAGTACAGTAGCACAATGGTAGCTCCCTGCATGCGGCCTCAAATGATCTTCCCAGCAGTTTGAGAAGCAGAGGTAGCATTATAGGCATGAGCCACCACACTCAACCTCATCCCTTCATGATGCAGTCAGTTCTTGACATGCACAATTTAGTTTTAATAATGTTGTTCAGTTGGTCAGAAGTCTATAATGTTTATTTTTATTAAGGCACATCTTTTCTACTCACCTGTTTTTAAACGTCACCACCTGCTCCCACCACTAAAAAACGTAATGGCTTCCAGTGTTCACATCCTGTCCTCCAGAGACTAGTTTTGGAGAATCTCAGACTATGTGCCTCCTTTAATTCTTCTGCTAAATGAAGTCTAATTCTCCGTTTCTTCTTAGGCTGAATTATAGTGGGTTGTGTTTTTCTCAGTATATATAGTCTAGAAGGTTGTGTTTTACTTGAGTTCTGCCCTGTTGAAAGTGAAACTTGAAACCCTGCTTTCTGAGAAAGTCATCCTACTTCACTGAGAAACTATTTATCCTGAATTTGTGTGGCCTCTACACAATTTTCATGATTCTCCCCACAATAAGGATTCAGATGTACTGTGTGCTCAATATCAAGTGTCACATTTAATACAATTAAAGTAGTCCCCTCTTATCTGTGGGGGCATGTATTTCACCCCCAGTGGGTGCCTAAAATTGTGCGGTACCAAAGTTTATACAGTATTTACTGTTTTTTCCTATTCCTATGGTAAAGTTTAATTTAAAATTAGGCACAGTAAGAAATTAACAATAGCTAATAATAAAACGGGGCAGTTATAACAATATGTTGTAAAAAAAAGTTATGTGAATATAGTCTTTCCTCAAAATATCTTTGTTTGTTCGAGACAGAGCCTTGCTCTGTCCCCCAGGCTGGAGTGCAGTGGTGCGATCTCCGCTCACTGCAACTTCCACCTCCCGGTTCAAGCGGTTCTCCTGTCTCAGCCTCTCAAGTGGCTGGAACTAGAGGTGTGCACCACCATGCCTGGCTAATTTTTCATAATTCTAGTAGAGATGGAGTTTCACTGTGTTAGCCAGGATGGCCTTGATTGCCTGACCTCATGATCCGCCTGCCTTGGCCTCCCAGAGTGCTGGGATTACAGGTGTGAGCCACCGTGCCCAGCCTCAAAATGTCTTATTTTACTCTACTCACCTATTTTTAGACTGTGGTTGACTGTAGGTAACCGACACCACAGAAAGCAAAACTGCAGGTAATGGGAGACTGCTGTACATGCTAGTTGACATAACTTTTCTGGTTTTTTAGAAAATATTTTTCATACTGGTTCAAGTTAATGTCTTCTGTCCTAAATTGTGAGTGCTGTAAGACACAGTGTATCAAAAATGCTATGTTGTTTTCTGAAACACTTTTTCCAAGCCAGGCACAGTGGCTCATTCCTGTAATCTCAGCAGTTTGGGAGGCCAAGGAGGGTAGATTACTTGAGGTCAGGAGTTCAGGACCAGCCTAGCCAACATGGTGAAACCCTGTCTCCACTAAAAATAGAAAAATTAGCCAGGTGTGGTGGCACTTGCCTGTGATTCCAGCTACTCAGGAGACTGAGGCAGGAGAATCGCATGAACCCGGGAGACACAGGCTGCAGTGAACTGAGAATTGCAGTGCCGTACTCCAGCCTTGGAGACAGAGTGAGACTCTGTCTCAAAAAAAAAAAAAGAAAGAAACACTCTTTGCTCTTACTCAGTTTATGATACCGTCTTTATTAAGATCTTGTACAGCGCCTCCTTTATAATGCTTTTTCATGTGGTGCCTTTTGTTCCTGTACCATTACAATTTGTGCCGTGCTTTCTTATAGTTGGTTCCTTGACTAGACTAACCTCTCCAAGATTAGAGACTGGATCATTCATCTTTGTATCCCAGTAACCAAGCATGGTTGGTCTTCAGTAAATATATGTTTAATATTAAACAGTACACAATGAGATCAAGTGTCAGTCATGCAAAATGTACTTGGCCTCATTTCACCTTTAAGAATATGTCAGGTAGGTCGGGTGTGGTGGCTCACACCTGTGATCCCAACACTTTGGGAGGTCGAGTCAGCAGATAAATTAAAGCCAGAATAAATGGTAGAAGTTGAAATAGTTAGCATTTCAAAATAAACTGCATGTTTGGAGCCAGTGTGTTTTCTACCTATTGAAATATTCTATTTTTTTTTTAAACCTTTTAACTTTTTCCTTCGTTGTATCATCTGTCTTCCGAGAAGCTTAGGAAACAGTTTGACAATTGTGTAAAAAGTCATCAGTAACGGCCGGGTGCGGTGGCTCAGGCCTGTAATCCCAGCACTTTGGGAGGCCGAGGTGGGTGGATCACAAGGTCAAGAGATTGAGACCATCTTGGCCAAAGTGGTGAAACCTCATCTCTGTTAAAATTACAAAAATTAGCCAGGTGTGGTGGTGGGTGCCTGAAGTCCCAGCTACTCAGGAGGCTGAGGCAGGAGAATCGCTTGAACCCCGGAGGTAGAGTTTGCAGTGAGCCAAGATCATGCCACTGTGTTCCAGCCTGGCAATAGAGCAAGACTCAGTCTCAAAAAAAAAAAAAAAAAAGTCATCAGTAATTAGGAAGTACCTGTAAATTTTTTGATACACAGAAAATGAGAAATACAGTGTATCAGACTTCCACTTTCTCGTGTACACAGATTAGTTATTTCCTTGGAAAATAAGTTTTATGGCAAAGATGACTACCTCAGAAGCTGAAAATATTTACCATATCTTTATACCTTCCTGGTACTTTGCAGATGGTCAGTCTGGTCAGCCCCCATTTTGTGCATCCTATCAGAATGATGATCCATTAAATGCTTTGAAGAATAGCAACAGTCATGATGTGCTTAGACATGAAGACCAGGAACATTTTTCCCAAATAAGCTCCAGCATACAGAAAAAGGCTGTACTCATTGAACAAAAGTGTGACATTGACATTACCTTTGAGTCTATGCCTAATTTGAACGACTTTAACCAAAGAGGGAATTCTAATGCCGAATGTAATCCACACTGTGCTGAATTATACACCAATCAGATACCTACTGAAACTGACATGGCTATAGAAATTGAGAAGAACTCTTTGTCTTCACATGTACCAAATGAATCTCAGTTACAGACTGAGCAGCCTGATTTACCGATTACTTCATTCGTTTCACTTGGTTGTGAAGCTAACAGTGAAAACTTAATTCTCTCTGGGAAAAGTTCTCAACTTTTATCCCAAGATACTTCATTAACGGGAAAGCCATCTGAAAAAAGTCAATTTTGTGAGAATTCTAATGACACAGTAAAACTTAAAACTAATTTTCATGGTTCCAAGTCACCAGATTCTAGTGAAATTCACAAGAGTAAAATAGAAATTAATAATGTTTTAGAACCAGTTATGTCACAGCTATCAAATTGCCAAGATAATTCTCTTCAAAGTGAAATATTACCTGTGTCTGTTGAAAATTCACATTTAAGTGTATCTGGAGAACAAGTAGAAATTCATCTTGGAGATTCGCTGTCTTCTGCTAAACAACCGTCTAATGATTCAACATCTGTTGAGTTAAATCTTACAGAAAATGAAGCCCAGCCATCCAAGTCTGAGAAGTCACAAGAGCCTTCATCTTCTGGAAAAGAAGAGGATACTATTTTTCTCTCTTTAGGTGGAAATACCTGTGAGGAAGTTGCGCTGATGCCTCCAGAAGGTACTCCTATAGAAAACAGTGACCCTCTTCCTCCGGAATCTGTGTGTTCTTCAGTGGGAGATCCTCACCCTGAGTCCCAAAATACTGATGATAAACATTCTAGCAACAACTCAGCAGAAATAGATGAATCAAATATCGTCTCTCTCAAAGTTATCATTAGTGATGATCCATTTGTTTCCTCAGATACTGAACTTAACAGTGCTGTTTCTAGTATCAATGGAGAAAACCTGCCAACTATAATCTTGTCTTCTCCTACTCAATCACCTGCCAAAGATGCAGAATTAGTTAAATGCCTATCTTCTGAAGAAGCTGTAGGTGCTGTCGTTTATGCTGAAGTAGGGGATTCAGCCTCAATGGAACAGAGCCTTTTAGCGTTCAAACCTGAAGACTCTGCCGTAAACAACTCCCAGAATGAAGATGGCATTACTCTTTCAGCTAACGTTACACCATGTGTTTCCAAGGATGGAGGATATATACAGTTGATGCCAGCCACAAGCACAGCCTTTGGCAATTCAAGTAACATTCTGATAGCCACCTGTGTGGCTGATCCACCAGCCTTAGGAACATCTGTAAGTCAGTCTAATGTGGTGGTGTTGCCCGGAAACTCTGCACCTATGACTGCTCAACCTCTGCCACCTCAGTTACAGACATCACCAAGGCCAAACAGTGTGTTTGCTCTCAACCAAGCTGTATCACCAAACTTTTCACAAGGTAACTTTAGTAACATAATTGAAATTTGTTTCTTTGGGTTGGGATCTAATTTCTTTTGTATGTGATGTTATTGACTAGGAAGTTATAACTCATGGATGGTACGAGAAAAGATTCTGAAATTTGTATTACGCTGCTTCTTTATGATAGCTAATTCAAACCTTTTTTTTTTTAATCTAGTAAGCTATGGGCTTTAGTAGTTTTTTCCTTTCCACAAATACTCTCTATCTATGTGCTAATAAGCCACAAGAAACAGAAAAGACAGACTAATTGATCACCGAGCTGTATAAAACCCAATGTTGTGGGGGAGTTTTTAAAACATAGCTGTTACAGTCATGGTCTTCAGGGAATATATCATTTGTTTGGAGAAACTTTCAATAAAAACCGGAATTTCGACTGATTTTGGGGGATGGCCCCCGCCTGTAATCCCAGCACTTTGGGAGGCCGAGGTGGGCAGATCACCCAAGGTCAGGAGTTCCGAGACCAGCCTCGCCAACATGGTGAAACCCCATCTCTACTAAAAATACAAAAAAAGAAAATGAGCCAGGCGTGGTGGCGGGCACCTGTAATCCCAGCTACTTAGGAGCCTGAGGCAGGAGAATCAATTGAACCCAGGAGGTGGAGGTTGAAGTAAGCCAAGATTGTGCCATTGCACTTCAGCCTGGGCAACAAAAGCAAGACTCTGTCTCAAAAAAAAAAAAAAATTTAATTTTTTCTTTTATAAATCCTAATTTTTCACTGCCTTCCACCTTCTAGAATTGATCCCTGTCTTTAAAAATCCTCTGTTCATGTCTGGGCGCAGTGACTCATGCCTGTAATCCCAGGAGTTTTGGGAGGTCAAGGAGGGTGGATAACCTGAGGTCAGGAATTCAAAACTAACATGGTGAAACCCTGTCTCTACTAAAAATAGAAAATTTAGCTGGGCGTGGTGGTGGGCGCCTGTAATCCCAGCTGCTTGGGAGGCTGAGGCAGGAGAATCACTTGAAGCCAGGAGGCAGAGGTTGCAGTGAGCCAAGATCATGCCACTGCACTTCAGCCTGGGTGACAGAGCAAGACTCCATCTCAAAAAAAAAAAAATCATTTTTTCATAAGGGCTTTTGTGGCATTTATTGCATGCCGTGTTATATGTAGTTAGTGATGGATATGCCTGTCATGTTGATTTTTTATTGTATGTTCCTCAGAGACAGAGCTTATGGCACATTCATTTACATTTCCTTATGTGTTGGTTCCCAAGCTTCCCTCCTTTCCCTTTTTGTTACTTTATTAACATACAATAAAATTTCATTAAATTTCAACAATTAGTATTAAACCTAATGGGTCTGTTTTAAGTCTGTTACAAATTCCATAAAGAAGAAGTCAGAATGGAGTAGAGAAGGTAGGGCTTGAGCTAAAGCTTGAAGAATTAAGGTAGGATTTGGACTTAAAGGACTTATTATAACTTATAAAATCCATAAGTTATAAAGAGAAGCAGCACCAGCATAGATCGAGATGCCATAGTGGGTTGCATGAAAACGAGGGCATCAACCTGACAGTAGTTAGTGTATTAGGCAGAAGTTTGTTTATGGGACAGGACTAAGTTACAGTTGCCACAAACTATATTGTTGACTTCTATAGTAATTGTAATTTTACAGTTACAAAAATTACAGAATTATAGTCTTCCCTCCACAGTTTTGTCCAATTACGTGTTTACCTTACCCCTTTTTGGGCCAATACCATTGAGATAAGTAATAGGTTGGGGTTACGAGCGTACTATAAATATTCAGTTGGGGTTCTAATTTTCTGGTATAAGACTCAGACTTGAAACATTCACCACCCATTTTCTAACTAGTTTCATTATTTTTAGAGGAATCCAGATATGATATGATTATAATATAATTTCTTGGCTGTAGAGTCTTACGGTTGCTCAAGATGGTTCGCTGTGACTGAGTAACACAAGACCACCTTCATATTTGGATTGACTTTTTCTTTGTTAGCCTTGCTGTTGTTCCTAAGTCAGTTTTGTTTTTTTTGTATTTTTTTAAGGAGAGTAGATCATAAGGGAGAGTGATTGTTCATAAAATTTATTTCAAAGCAATAATTAATTTGATATGTTGTACCCAAACATTTGAAAGAACATCTTATCTTAACAAGAATTGTTTTTTTTAGGATCTGCCATAATAATTGCCTCTCCAGTCCAGCCTGTACTCCAAGGAATGGTAGGGATGATCCCAGTATCTGTGGTTGGACAGAATGGAAATAACTTTTCTAGTCCTCCTCGGCAGGTAAGACTTATGAACTGAAAATGGTGCGGTGATGCTCTTCAAGCTTAGTGTAATTAATGGCTTTTTCTCTTCTAGGTCCTTCATATGCCTTTGACAGCACCTGTATGCAGTAGAAGTATCCCTCAATTCCCTGTCCCTCCGAAATCTCAGAAGCCTCAGGGACTAAGAAACAAGCCTTGTATAGGTACCATTTTTCAGTTCATTACTGCCAACTTGATGTCTGTGTATCCATTTGTTAGCAGCACCCACCTAAGCCATTTGCCAGCAAGTCATCACCCTACATTTGCTAATGACAGACGTCACAATGCAGCCAACTGTTACTGGACAGCTTTGGTTCTGAGACAGTTGTTTCCTTTGTTGATTCTGTTAGCTTTTGCCCTCTAGTCCTTGGTTTGTTTTTTGCAGCTACCCTAAGTTAAATGTGATCCCTATTTTTCCCAACAGCTTTCAAGTGTTTAGTGAATGGCTTGTATAATTGTATGAGACTTTAGAGCAGTTCTTCTTGTATTTTGGTGTGTATATGAACTACTTGGAGATTTTGTTAAGTGCAGGTACTGAATTAACAGGACTGGCACAGGGCCTGAAATTCCTCATTTCTGACAGCCCCTGAGCAATGCAGGTGCCGCTGTTACTGCACCATACTTTGTGGAGCAAGGCTTTCAAGTTTGCAGATTACCTTCCTTTGTTCCCGACTTCGGCCAGCTTCACAACTCTCTCTTTGCTCATGTGAAAAGCCTGGCAGTCGTTCTTAAAACATATTTTTCCTCTCTTTCTTAGTTTAAGTATTTGTGACTTTTCATCCAAGTTGTATCAATAGTATTTTGTAGTCAGTCTCCCTTCTTTCGGTCTCTGTTGTTTCAGATCACCTTATATCTGCTTACCAAGTAACTTTTTTTTCCCTAAAGTACAAATCTGAATATGTTGCTTCCCTGCATAAAATCTTTCAGCAACTCCCCTTTGCCCACAGGATAAAATTGAAATTTCTTGGGGTGAAATAAATGCATACATTTGTCATCTTGTCACTATCAACCTCTCCGTTCTCATCTCTTACCACTTCCCAGCATGGACCCTTTGCGCAAACCATAGTTGCTGTTCACCTTATACTCGGTGATCATTCTTGTCCCTGCACCTTTACCAATGCTATCTCTTCTACCTGGAAATCCCCCTTCTTACCCAGCTCTTAGCCTCAGTCTGGTTCTTACTTATCTTTCAAACTTAACTCAAATGTAACTTTATCCTAGGAAGCGTTTTTAACCAACGGTGGCTAAGGTGGGTATTCCAGTTTTATTGTTTTCTTTAATTCTTAGTGATACCTATGCTACAGCACTTACCACATTACACTGTAAGTGTTTCTTCTCAGTAGTCTGAGTGTCTTAAGTGCACTGATTATAGAGAACTCGCTAAATGCTTTCATCACATCAGCCTTTCCTTAAGCGAAACAGTGTACCTCTATTGATGTAGGCTTAAGTTGCATTTTGACGTATTGAGGCACCCTCTTAGACTTGTGTCATGTTATAGCTACTCTATTATTTTTATGTTCTTTCTCTAGTTCATTCCTTTTAATGGCCATTTGATATCTATCACTTGCATAAACCTATTTTATTTATCTCCTATCAATGGACTTTTAAGATGTTTTCAGAGTTTTTGATCTGACATACAATGTTATGAGGAATATCTTTGTAAATGCCTCTGTGTGGACCCAGATGAGGGCTTCTTTGGAGGCTTATTCCCAGAAGCCTCTGGGTGTATTGGGTTTACATAAAGAAGAAAGTTTGTACTTCTACCATTATTTTTTCTGCTTCCCTCACAACACTACTGATGTTTGATACCATGTGGTAGTTTAGCTTTTACCACTGTGATGGATGTAAGGTGGTATCTCATATCATTCTTTTGCTTTATTCTGATTACTAATAAGTTGAGAATCCTCTCTTGTAACTATAAATAATATTTTTCCTTCTATGAATTGCTTATTTATATCCATTTCCTACGTCTCTATTAAATTTCCTGTCCGTTGAGGTGTTATACTTTTATTAGTACACATCACATGTGTCTTTATAGTCTGACACTGTTTTTATCTCTTACAAAGTTAATGCCAGAAAATAACATTGGTGAAGTTAAGCATCCATTTATGATAAAAGTTCTTAAAGACTATTTGTAGTAAACGCCATGGGTTTCCTTTAAAGCTGTGAACAAAACAAGTATACTCATTCCCACCCTGTATGTAATAAGCCAATGTTTCCAACACCAGTAAATTAATTATTAAGTAATCAAACTTTTCCCCGCTGACATCTGATTATACGTCCACCATAGACAAGGTCCCATACATATGTGATTCCAGAAAATTTAGTAAGAAAATGCAGCTGGGCATGGTGGCTCATCCCCATAATCCCAGCATTTTTGGAAGCCGAGGCAGGAGGATCGCTTGAGTCTAGGAGTTTGAGACTGACCTGGGCAACATAGTGAGACCACGTCTCTAGAAAAGAAATTTTTATAAAGTAGCCAAGTGTGATGACACGTAGGCCAACTACTTGGGAAGGTGAGGTAGAAGGATTGCTTAAGTCCAGGAGGTGAGGCTGTCATGAGCCACGATCATGCGACTGCACTCCAGTCTAGGCAACAAACAGGGAGACCCTGTCTTAGAAAAGGAAAGAGACAGGTGTAAAGATTTGAAGAGAGGGGACTAAACTTATGGAAAATGATGGGATTTTTTACAATAAGCCACAAAGAGTTAATAAAGAAATTAATAGAACTAATAAGAATTCGGTAAGGTTGCCAGGTATGATTAATTTATTGATGTTTTGTTTTTAGGTGCCAACAATAAGCACCTATTAAATGTAATAGAAAATAAGATACTGTTTATAATAACCACAAAAATGATAAAGTATAAAGGAGGAAACCTAACCAAAAATGTTGGAAATGGAGAATGTTTGAAATCTTTCATAAAGGATATATAAATAGAAGAGAACCATGTTCATAGATTTTAAGATTTAACAGTGTAAAGATTGCGCTTCTTCAGAGTTGAATCAAAAATTCTATATAGTTTTCCTTAATCCCAGTAGAATATTTTGGGAGATGGGAAAAACTATTAATAAATTATATGAGAAAGAACGAAAGTCCGCAGCTGGCTAAGATAGGAGAACAGAGGGCAGACTCATTCTACTAAATGGTAAAATATTGCAAAGCCACAGTAATTACAAAGAAAAGTGGGACAAGATGGTTTAGAAGGAGACCTTATACATGGTAATGTCATGGGAACATCAGAAGTCAGAGCAAGATGGGTGGTGTGATATATGAAATGTACTGATCATTAAATATACAGCAGAGAGGAAAAAGTAGATCCCTTCCTCATTCAGAGGTGAACGCCAAGATGATTAAAGACCTCAAAAAAGTCAAACAATTAAATTCTGGAAGAATGTATAAGAGAATATTTTTATGACATTGGGATAAAGGATTTCTTTTTTTAAAATGAGAAGACTTCGGGCACAATGATCACTTCCATTCAGTACATACCTATCCTACTTCCAAAATCATCCTTCTTTCTTAAAGGAATAACTTTCATTCTTTCTAAGGTTAATGCAGTCTACTTATGCTCCAGATTCTATCTTCTGTACATCTTTCAACTTTTCTTTTTTGGCTTCTCTCTCTGGCTGTCAACATAGGTTTGTCCTAGCTGCCAGCCTTTTATCCCCAACCTCTCTTAATCTCCCGTTTCTTCAACCAAATTACTGGCTTTTCTCATCTTTCTACTGAAACCGTCTACACTAGGGTCACCAGTGGCCTCCTAATATTGCCATATGCATTGAAATTTGTCCATTCTTACCTAACTTTTCTTTCCCAAAGTAACTATGGTGGCTTTGGAGCCATAACTAAACGATTATGCTCCTCCCCTGCTAATTTTGTATGACTCAAGACCTTCAGACTCTACATATTTAAGTCCCACCTCTGCTTCTCAAAGACTTCTTCTGCCTAGGATTTTTCCCCCTTGGTTAATGTCACAATTGATTTTTCCCTTTGCTTTTTGTTTCCGTGTAAATGCCCATTATTGTTTCTAAGACCCTCATCATCTCTTACCTAGAATAGAGTCATCTACTTCGAGTTTCTGTTTCTAGTTTTCTCTCCTCTCTCTTCCATCTTCCACATTATTGCCAGATCGATCTTCCGAAAACAAAACCTATTCATGCATCTTCCCTATTTAAAACTCTTAAAGAGGCCAGGTAGGGTGGCTCACACCTGTAGTCCCAGCATTTTGGGAAGATGAGGTGGGTAGATCACCTGAGGTCAGGAGTTTGAGATCAGCCTGGCCAACATAATGAAACCCCTTCTCTACTAAAACTATAAAAATAAGCTGGGGCATGGCAGTGTGCACCTGTAATCCCAGCTACTCGGGAGACTGAGGCACTGGAATCACTTGGAACCAGGAGGTTGCAGTGAGCCAAGATCACACCATTGCACTCCAACCTGGGCAACAGAGCAAGATTCCGTCTCAAACAATTAATAATAAATAAAATAAATAAAACTCAAAAGATTGCCTCTGAAACCTTTTGCATAATACATAACGTTCTTTGTAATGTCATCTTTGCTCTTTCTAGTTTTGATATCTTGCTGCTCTCCCACATAAATACTGAAGCTCGTGGAAATTGAAATATGGCCATTAAAGCTCCAGAGCATGTGTTCTGAGTGTCACAGGCTTGCAAACATGCTAGGTACCTGGGCAGAATTCTAAAACAGATATAACCTATTGTTTTCTGTGACTGCCATTACGTGCTATGTTGAGCATTGTAATTTGTAGATCCAAAGACCGGATTTATAGTATTTGCTCATGCCTGTAATCTCAGCACTTTGGGAAGCTCAGGTGGGCAGATTGCTTGAGGCCAGGAGTTCAAGACCAGCCTGGCCAACATGGCAAAACCCCATCTCTACTGAAAATACAAACAGTTGGCCGGGTGCGGTGGCTCATGCCTGTAATCCCAGCACTTTGGGAAACTGAGGCGGGCAGATTACCTGAGGTTGGGAGTTCGAGATTAGCCTGACCTACATGGTGAAACTCTGTCTCTACTAAAAATACAGAACTAGCCGGGTGTGGTGGCCCATGCCTGTAATCCCAGCTACTCAGGAGGCTGAGGCAGGAGAATCCCTTGAACCTGAGAGGCAGAGGGTGCAGTGAGCCAAGATTGCGCCATTATACTCCAGCCTGGGCAACAAGAGTGAAACTCCATCTCAAAAGAAGAAAAACAAATTACAAAAAATTAGCTTAGCATGGTGGTGGACACCTGTAATCCCAGCTACTTGTGAGGCTGAGACAGGAGAATCACTCGAACACAGGAGGCAGAGGTTGCAGTGAGCCGAGATCGTGCTACTTCACTATAGCCTGGGCAGCAGAGCATGGCTCTGTCTCAGTAAAACAAATGAAGTATTTGCCAGAAGTTGATGCATGTCATTTGCTCCAAATTTGGATTTTCTCTGTAGCGGTGAGGGAATAGCGATCTTGTATTTATTTCAAAGCTGCCTGTTAGAAGTTGGCATGTCGGGCCGGGCGCGGTGGCTCACGCCTGTAATCCCAGCACTTTGGGAGGCTGAGGCGGGTGGATCACGAGGTTGAGATCGAGACCATCCTGGTCGACACGGTGAAACCCCGTCTCTACTAAAAATACAAAAAATTAGCTGGGCACGGTGGCGCGTGCCTGTAATCCCAGCTACTCGGGAGGCTGAGGCAGGAGAATTGCCTGAACCCAGGAGGTGGAGGTTGCAGTGAGCCGAGATCGCGCCATTGCACTCCAGCCTGGGTAACGAGCGAAACTCCGTCTCAAAAAAAATAAATAAATAAAGTTGGCATGTCAAAAGTGTTCTATTTGTACATTAGCTATCATTTAAAAATTGTTCTCATAATATTTGATAATTGTCATCTGTTCCATCCTCTTTAAGAGGAGTATATTCTTTCTCAGGAATGTTCATTTATAATTTCAGGAAAACAGGCGAATAATTTAGTGGATTCGTCAAGTCGTTCAGTTGGATGTGATGCGCAAAGGTGAGCATGAAGTAGCTTCTGTCATGGATTGTGTGAAGGCTCAGATTGAAAACATAAAGGGTTTCTTTATGCTGCTAGAAATATCTTTGTTTTGTTTTAGAACTGAAGTTTCTGACAAGAATATTGGCACAGATCTTGGGAAGCAATCAGAAGAAACCACAGTTCCCTTTCCAGAAGAGAATATAGTGCCAGCTGCTAAACCGTGCCACAGACGTGTACTCTGTTTTGACAGCACTACTGCTCCTGTGGGAAATACGCAGGGGCCAAACCATAAGATGGTGTCCCAGAGCAAACAAAGGAATGCAGTCTCTTGTCCCAATCTCGACTCACCCGGTGCGTCGTCCGCCTTAAAACCCCCTTCCAAGAATGCTATCAAAAGAGAGAAAGAGAAGCCGCCTCTGCCTAAGATTTTATCTAAATCAGAAAGTGCCGTTAGCCGGCATACTGCCGTAAGAGAAACTCAGTCAGAAAAGAAAGTTTCACCAACAGAAATTGTGCTTGAATCTTTCCATAAAGCAACAGCTAATAAGGAGAATGAATTATGCAGCGATGTAGAAAGGCAGAAAAATTCAGAAAATTCCAAACCATCTACTGGGCAGCAAAATGGGGGTTTGCGAACTGAGAAATCTATAGCTTCACTGCAAGAACTGAACAAGAAACAAGGCACATCTTCAAGCAGTAAAAATGGCCTTTCAGTAGGTACAGCTGTGAGAGATCTAAAACAAGAACAGACTAAATCTGCCAGTTCTTTGATTACCGCAGAAATGTTACAAGAGGTACAGAGGCACAGCTCAGGAAGTAGGCTTGCCGATACTGGTGATTTAGCCGTACCCCGGACACCTGGCTCAGGGGCAGGGGAAAAACATAAAGAAGAACCTGTAGATGTTATCAAGGCCCCCTCTAGTAGGCGTTTTGGTGAAGACAGTAGCACATCAAAAGTAATGGTCCCTCCTGTCACCCCAGACTTGCCTGCCTGCAGCCCTGCCAGTGAAACAGGCAGTGAAAACAGTGTAAATATGGCTGCCCACACGTTGATGATTCTCTCTAGGGCAGCCATCTCTAGGACCACTTCAGCAACTCCTCTGAAAGATAACACACAACAATTTAGAGGATCTTCACGGAGCACCACAAAAAAGCGGAAAATTGAGGAATTAGATGAACGTGAGCGAAACTCTCGAACTTCTAGTAAAAATCTTACAAATTCATCAATACCAATGAAAAAGAAGAAAATTAAGGCAAGTTTGAAAGTTTTAATTTCAAAACCACAGCTTTTTTTCCCCTTTAATAATGAGAGAATTCAGCAGTTTTTGCCACAGCAACTTGACTGAATGTTATGGCCAAGACAGCGTTTAGTTCTGATTGACAAAACCAGTTGTCCAGCATTGTTAATGTAGTGTGCAGAAGGTGTCCAGGTGACAGAGCGCTTGCAGAACAACTGCTGAAGCTGTTACCTCACCTCCCGAATAGCTGGGACTGCAGGCATGCGCCGCCACGCCCGGCTAAGATTTAGTTTTTTATAGACACGGGATTTCGCCATGTTGCCCAGGCTGGTCTTGAGGTCCTCAGCTTAAATGATCTGCACACCTTGCCCTCCCAAAGCGCTGGGATTACCGGCATGAGCCACTGCACCTGGCCTTACCTGTGTTTTTTCTTTAAGCATGGTTGTCTATAGGAAGGGAATGCAGGGATAGCACCGATGAATGAAAATCCATATATTTTCAGTTTGTTTAGCAATTTAGTAAGTGGATTGAATAGAAAGAAAGTGCTTAAAATATAGAAGTATCAGGAAAATAATCTAAGCTTTGTTGCCCTGCAAGTCTGGGTTCGAATCCTGTATCTGCTGCTCATTGGTCCTGTGATCATAGTTAAGTCTGTAGCTTCTCAGTCTCAGCCTCATCAGTTGACATGGTATGAGGACTAAATGTAGTATACATGAAGCAGCTGGTATATATGAAGTGTTTGGAACTGGTAAGTACCTGTTAACTCTTACTATCTCTGTGAGTAAAGCTTTCTACGCAGTAATAATCACCTGACACAGAAAGCACGTTCTGTCTTTTCCCATTCAACATTCAGACACTCTGGATTTGCGTAATGTCTTTTGCTGTAGACAAACATTCAGGTACCATTGAAGTATATTTAATTAACTTGGGGTTTATACGTCTCTACTTCTCTGTGGAACTACAATTCTAATAGACTAAAAAAGTTTAACAGTACTGTTTTAAGCGACTTACTAAGAAACTTTTTTGCCCTTGTTTGAGTTTATTTTTTCTTTTCTTTTTTAACAGAAAAAGAAGCTTCCTAGTTCATTTCCAGCAGGAATGGATGTGGACAAATTTTTGTTATCATTACATTATGATGAGTAAACATTGTGGACACATAAGAACAGTAGCTGTTCAAAACTCGTATCCCTTAAACTGAGTGTAGGGAATGGGATGTTGACAGAATCTGAAAGCATGACCTGCACTTTCCATTGTACTGAGATTTCACTTTATATCTAAATCACGCTGTTTCTGAAACAGCTTCCTAGTTTGTAAATAGACTTACCTGGCATATTTTTATTTGGGGAAAAACATTTGCAGAAATGTAAGTAAAGCCAGTCTGCAAAACTGTATAGCTTTGACAATTGCATATTGTAAATATTATGTAAATTTGTTGAAATAGAGGTTAAATCAACCTAATGTTTTACACTGTGTTTTTTGACTTCCTATGATAACTGGTTCTGAGACTGAATCATCTGGAATAGTTTCTCACTTCTTTTGGAGGAAAACTATGCTTATTCTTATAAATTGCTTTCAGTAACTGTTCAACAAGACATTTAAATACACAACCACTAAGTACTACAAAGTGATAACCACCTCAACTGATAGTAAAATAGCTAATTAGAAATCAACAGTTTGAGTTTTTTCCTAGAGTGGATACTACCCCTTTCTTATAATTGCTGTAAATATTGTATTTCTGGAATTTTACACTTTACCTGTTTCTTCTGGTCACTCTCTGAGAGAATTTTGTAAACCACTTATTGAATGTTCTAATCTTTCATTTATAACTTCTAAGATTTTTTACAGAACTTTAAGTTGTTAGACTATTGAGCCATAAAAAGTTTGGTTTGTAGTAGCTGAGATATCTTGGTATGTACTTTTCCCCTAAATACTGGGGACTTAAAGAATTGCACTAATTCATAGAACTCTTTACATTGTAGTGACGAATGCACATGTAATTTAAATCTTGTGTTCTGTTTGAAAGTTTATGTGGAGGATTATCTTCTGGTGTTATGTTCATCATAAGATGTAAAAAGAGAACTCATAGTTTATATTTTAATTTAGTTTCTCCTACAGTGGGGTATGTGAAATAACTATATCTACAGTTAGATATAGTGCATTGTCTGTGTTCCTTAAAGTGTTACAAAGAGTTTCTCTCAAAAGGTCCATAAGGAGAGTGAGAGGTAAGAAAGGTGCCTTCTCTGTATTAGACTCACATGTCAGTCAAGTTGAAGAATTGGTTTCAACTTAAATGATAACAGAAATTATAATTAGTACCTGACCAATTGTGCCTAGATATGAAAGTATGTTCTCTTTAGTACTTTTCTGTTCAATTAGCTCTCAGTATATTAGGGATTTTTTTCTACAGGTGTATATTTTGTTAAAGAGTCACTTTGCTCAACCATTTTTTTGTACTGGGCCTTTAAAAAAAAATAAATCCATTCAACTTTAATACCACATTTCTCAATGTAGAAATCATGTCTTTTTCATTGCTGAACGTTACTGCAAAAATTTGTGAATTTTTATGATGTGGCAGTGTTCTATTCCTAAGGAACTAAATATCATATAGTTAATATTATTTAACTCAGCTTGAGACTGTACTACAGTTAGGTTCGAATAAATATTTTCCACTAACTTCAAAAGTTTGAATTACTTCATATTGGCAATCTTGTTTAGAAACTGATTAAATTCCTTTGCGAGTCAGTTCTTACTCTTTTGGGAGTTCATACAATGCAGAAAATCACACGTTTTTCTTACTCAATTCATATGTGGGCTAGGTACTGAAAATTCATATACAAATAAAATAAGTTTACTTTTTTCAAGATTCATAGTTAAGTAACCAGGAACTGCTAAAGAAAGTTCAAAGATAACTTGTACTTGGAGCTTTTTTTTTTTTTTTTTTTAAATACTTTAGGTTCTAGGGTACATGTGCAGTTCATGCAGGATTATTAATGCACAGGTACATACATGGCAAGGTGGTTTGCTGCCTCCATCCCCCCGTCACCTATATCTGGCATTTCTCCCCATGTTATCCTTCTCCAACCTCCCTGCCCCCTGTTTTCCCTCTCCCAGCCCCCACCAATAGACCCCAGTGTGTGATGTTCCTCTCCCTGTGTCCATGTGTTCTCATTGTTCAATACCTGCCTATGAGTGAGAACATGCTATGTTTGATTTTCTGTTCTTGTGTTAGTTTGCTGAGAATGATGGTTTCCAGATTTATCCATGTCCCTGCAGAGGACACGAACTCATCATTTTTTTATGGCTGCGTAGTATCCCATGGTGTATATGTGCCAAATTTTCCTTGTAGTCTATCATCGATGGGCATTTGGGTTGGTTCCAAGTCTTTGCTATTGTAAACAGTGCTGCAGTGAACATACATGTGCGTGTGTCTTTATAGTAGAACAATTTATAACCCTTTGGGTATATACACAGTAATGGGATTGCTGGGTCAAATGGTATTTCTAGTTCTAGATCCTTGAGGAATCGCCACACTGTCTTCCACAATGGTTGAACTAATTTACACACCCACCAACAGTGTAAAGGTGTTCCTATTTCTCCACATCCTCACCAGCATCTGATGTCTCCTGATTTTTTAATGATCACCATTCTAACTGGTGTGAGATGTTATCTCAGTGTAGTTTTGATTTGCATTTCTCTAATGACCAGTGATGATGAGCATTTTTTCATATGTGTGTTGGCCTTATATATGTCTTCTTTCGTAAAATGTCTGTTCATATCCTTTGCCCACTTTTGAATGGTTTTGTTTTTTTCTTGTAAATCTGTTTTAGTTCTTTGTAGATTCTGGATATTAGCCCTTTGTCAGATGGGTAGATTGCAAAATTTTTTTCCCATTCCGTTGGTTGCCGGTTCACTCTAATGATTGTTTTGCTGTACAGAAGCTCTGAAGTTTAATTAGACCCCATTTGTCTATTTTGGCTTTTGTTGCCAATGCTTTTGGTGTTTTTGCCATGAATTCCTTGCCTATGCCTATGTCCTGAATGGTTTTGACTATGTTTTCTTTTAGAGTTTTTATGGTGTTAGGTCTTATGTTTAAATCTTTAATCCATCTGGAGTTAATTTTAGTGTAAGAGGTTAGGAAGGGGTTCAGTTTCTGCTTTCTGCACATGGCTAGCCAGTTTTCCCAACACCATTTATTAAACAGGGAATCCTTTCCCCATTACTTGTTTTTGTCAGGTTTGTCAAAGTTCAGTTGGTTGTAGATGTGTGGCATCACTTCCGAGGCATCTGTTCTGTTCCATTGGTCTGTATCTCTATTTTGGTACCAGTACCATGCTGTTTTGATTACTCTAGCCTTGTAGTATAGTTTGAAGTCAGGTAGCATGATGCCTCCATCTTTGTTCTTTTTGCTTGCGGGCTCTCCTTATGAAGTTTAAAGTGGCTTTTTCCAGTTCTGTGAAGAAGGTCATTGATAGCTTGATGGGGATAGTGTTGAATCTGTAATATCCCCATTGTCCACAGGTCGTGTACTTAATTTTACTATTTGATAACCTATTTGAATACCTAAATGCCCAGTGACTGCATTTCATGATTGACGTATACTGCAACAATCCATGGCTGTTTTTATAGCTATATGTAAGGATCCAGTCTATAGTTGGGACATTACTTAGAGGTTAATGCAGTCAGTGTATGCCAAATCTGAGAATGTTGTAGGTAAAATTCTTGTTACAGATTTAGCCCTGGCTATCATTAGAACTATAGTGTGAGGGCCGGGTGTGGTGGCTGATGCCTGTAATCCCAGCACTTTGGGAGTCCGAGGTGGCTGAGTCACCTGAGGTTGGGGTTTGAAACCAGCCTGACCTACATAGAGAAACACTGTCTCCAAAAAAAAAAACAAACTATAGTGTGTTGAAATTGCATGAGAAAAGCATCCATCAGCATTCATGCAAAGGATACATGTCAGGAATGACTATTAGGAGTAATTTCAAAAGCATATTACTGTGTACTCTGCATTCATCCTTTCTCTGGTCATCTTTCAGGCTCAGGCCCAGCTTTCTGAAATTTTATGTCAAGTTTTGACTTTATTATTATTTATTTCGCTGCTTCCTTTAAGCAATGGACTTAGTTCTGTACTTTTTTCTTTTTATAAATAATGTTATTTTGTCATTTTTTTCCATGAATTTTTATCTACATTGCCGAACTCATGACACATATAGCTTCATAATGCTTTTTTGTTTTATTTGAGAGAAGGTCTCAATAGTTTGCCCAGGCTGAAATACAGTGGCAAAATCCTGGCTCACTGCAGCCTCGACCTCCCAGGCTCAAGTGATCCTCCTACCTCAGCCTCCCAAATAGTTGGGATTATAGGCATATAGTATGATGCCCAGTTGTCTGTTTTGTTTTTCCCCAGGCTGAACTCGAACTCTTGGACTCACACAGTCCTCCTGCCTCAGGCTCCCAAAGTGTTGGGATCACAAGCGTGAGCCACCACGTCCAGCTACTTCTTTTACTTCCAATAATATAAAGCTTTTTTCCAGTTTTTAGCTATTAATAAACAAAAACAGCAGTGAACATTTTTATAAATAAACATTTGTTTATATTAACTATTTCCTTAGGAGAATTTTTAGAGGGTAGAATTACCAAATCAAGAAGTTAGTGTACTTTTTTTTTTTTTTTTGAGGGAATCGCTCTCTGTCGTCCAGTGGTGTAATCTCAGCTCAATACAACCACTGTCTCCTGGGTTCAAATGATCATCCTGCTTCAGCCTCCCGAGGAGCTGGGACTACAGGTGTGTGCCACGACACCCAGCTAATTTTCAGTAGAGATGGGGTTTCACCACATTAGCCAGGATGATCTCAATCTCCTGACCTCATGGTCTGCCCTCCTCGGCCTCCCAAAGTGCTGGAATTAACAGGTGTGAGCCACCACGCCTGGCTAATGTACCTTTTTTTTGTTTTGTTTTAAGGATCTCAGTACATTTTGCCAAATGCTGCTATTAAACGTGCATCAGTTTACATTTTTACCAGCAAAATGTCCATTTTTTGCATGGCACAGTCTTCTCCATTTCCATAGGCATATTCAACTACATCACCTGTTTCTAGGTTTGTGTTTCCTGATTTGGTAAAATGAGGAATTAGCTCCTAATCCATTTCTAATTTGCTTTGGTACCTGATACAGAAAAAGGGTCAAAGTACATTTTCCCCTAAATATGTAACTGCTTGACAGTTTGTTCACTTGACAATTTAACCACTGCACGGTTTGTTCAGATCAGCCTTCCTGTCCCTACTCATTGACGTAAGATGTCCGCCTTATCCTATACTGATTGGCAATCTCTTAGGCACAATTCTAAATCCTGAAAGGTTCTGGCAGCCAGTGTTTTCCCTACATTTAACATCAGAACTCATTCTGTGGCAAACCCTCACCTGAAATGACATGAGGCTACTTACAATCATGATCTCGTT